GGAGAAGGAGGAAGAGAAAGAGGAGGGAGGAGGGAGGAGAAAGAGAGCTCCAGGGAATCTGTGTATAAAACAGTCGGCCGTGTAGACCCCAAGTGGGGCATTCAGCACAGAGAACGATCTCTCTGCTCTTCGATCATTTGGGGGTCTCTGGGACCTTTGAAGAGAGGCTGAAAGTCAGGGTTCAGCATGTGCCAGGACATTCCGTCCTGCTCAAAAGTGCAGCAGAAAGGCGCAGAGCTGGGGGGCAGTCCCCGCGCGTGCACGGGGGACGGTCATAGGTTTGGTCTCGGTGGTGTGTTTTCCATCACGCTCCTCAGGGATGCCCGGATGCGGTCCCAAGCGTCCTGGCGGCGGGGGGTGGTGTGATGGGGAAGACAGAAACAGCTACACTGCCCCGCGCGCCCAACATGAACCGCCAAGAAGGAAGACACAGGGGAGACGCCCACAGCCACCCTTGTCCACTTCCTTCACGGGCGTCTCTTCCTCAGCCCTACGGGAGCAGGGGTCCTGAAAACGCCCGTGGGGATGAGCAAAGCCACAGCCCGGCGGTGGCGACTCCATCCCCCCCTGCCTGGTCTTGCAACCGCACCCTGCAAATCCACGGCCGGTTCCTGGAATTGGTGGTGGGCACCCTCGGCCGGGGGGTGTCAGTAGACTTGGACGTACGTGGTCTTGGAGTCTGCGCCCATCACGTTCCTCGCGGTGCACCTGTACACGCCAGAATCCCTTGCAGTGACGTGCTGCAGGGTGGAGGGCGCCCTGCGGGTTGGAGCAGACGGTGGCCAAAGAGCCGCGCCTGGACGCCGGTGGTCAGCCGAGCCCCGTCGGGCAGTTCCCAGGCCAGCTCAGCCCTGGGCAGCGCCACGGCCATGCAGGGCAGCTTCACGCTGGTGCCCGGCTGCGCGTACACCACGGGGGCGGGCCTGGGTGGTGATGCGCGGGGGGTAGGCGATGACGATCGACCGGGAAGGTGGTGACCACCGGGCCGCCTCCACCCGTGTCCACGCGGCACACGTAGGTGCCCCCGGTCGAAGACGGAGGCGTCTTGCACGGTGAGGGTGCCGTTGTCCAGCGCGGGAGAAGCGGCCCTGGCTGTGCGGACTGTCTAGAGTGAGGCCGCTGGGCAGTGTCCACGACAAGCTGGGCTGCCCGCTGAAGCCGTGCATGCCGCCCACACCCGTTCGACCCACGCTGGCCCCCATTCCGCTCTCCGGCACGCTACAGTGCAGCTTGAGTGTCTCCCCGTGGGCGATGGTCACCACGTTGCGATATTGGGGACCGTGGGTCGGGCTGAGCCCGACCTTGAGGGCCACCAGTCTCTCGGCGTGGCCGGCGGCGTTGCGTGCCAGGCAGCGGTAAGCCCCGGCATCGGCGGCCGCCAGCCCACTGATGTGCAGTCGCCCATCCGCGGCCGCGTGGTAGAAACGGCTGAGACGCTGCCCGGCCCGGAGCTCCGTGCCGTTGGGGAGTAGCCAGTGGCGGGTGGGCGGCGGGCGGCCGTGTGGCTGAGCAGTTGAGGCTGATGGTGTGTCCCGCCAGTGCGGTGATGTCCTCGCGGCTGGGGTCGCTGAAGGCGGGGTTTCTGGGCTGCGTCCAGCACCGTGAGCTCCACCAGCATCCTGGCCTCTCCGCCCTCGTTGCGGCCAATGCAGACCAGCTGCACCGCGTCGCTCGGCCGCGGGCTGCGGATGTCCAGGGTGCCGTTGCGGTGCACGGTGATGCGGTTGCCATAGTAAGGTGCCGGCAGCACCACGCCCTCCGGGAAGGCCCAAAGCACGCGGGGCGTGGGCACGCCCTCAGCCCGGCAGTCGATGAGTTTGCGGCTGCCGCCGGTGGCCACCTCCCGCACGGTGGTGACGGCGTTGGGGTGCCCGTTGATGGTGGGCGGCTGCAGCTGGACGTGCAGCCACACCGTCTTGCGGTCCTCGCCCGCCGCATTGCGCACCACGCAGGTGTAGTTGCCGCTGTCGGCGCGGCGGGCCTTGTGGATCAGCAGCGTGCCGCGGGCGTCGATGTGGTACTTGTCGGAGGACGCCGGGATGCGGCGGTGGCTTGGAGAGAGCCAGGTGAGCAGCGGGGCCGGCTCGCCCTGGGCCTCGCAGGTGACCACGGCCGCGTCCCCGTACGGGACCCGCAGCACCGAGTAGGTCTTGTTGCGGATGGCAGCCGGCAAGCTCAGAAGTCGCACCCGAACCCGCATCTCGTCCCGGCCGGCCTGGTTCTGGGCGAAGCAAGTGTAGTCGCCCTCTTCGGCCGGGCCCACCTCGTTGAAGTAGAGCGTGCCGTTGTGGAAGACCACATAGCGCTTGGCACGGCCGCCGGCCGCCCGGCTCTGGCCAACACCACCACCACCACGGTCACCGCCACTTGGCTGGTCTGCCGGCATGGCCGAGTTCACCAAGCTCCCGTCGGGGAGGCCCCAGGAGATCTCGGGGTTGGGCAGGCCGCTCGCCACGCAGTCCACGCGCAGGTCGGCGCCGATGGGGACCTGGCGGTCGGCCTCGTCGCGGGGCACGATCCTGGCGGGCTCCGTCAGCACCTGCACCCGCACGGCGGCGAAGTCGTCGCCCGCCGGGTTCCGGGCGACGCACAGGTAGTCGCCGGAGTCGCGTTCCGTCACCGAGGTCAGCAGGAGTGTGCCGTTGGCCAGGACCTTGGCGCGGGGCTCCGGGCTGAGTGGGAGGGGGCGAGAGGAGAGGAAAACGGGGTGGTCAGAGTGTGCAGGGCAGGCGTTGTCCACCTGGATGCTCCTTCCCGTCCACACCCCTCCCGTGGTGCTGGAGCTGAGGGTCCCTTATCCCTGTACTGCTAAGGAGAAGCGTCCCGAGTCACATCCTTGATTTGCTGCAGGTACATGTGTCCTCAAGGACCAACCCTGGGGCTGGAGCGATAACACAGCAGGGAGGGCGTTGGCCTTGCATGTGGACAACCCGGGTTCGATTCCCACCATCCCATAGGGTCCCAAGCACCGCCAGGAGCAATTCCTGAGTGCATGAGCCAGGAGGAACCCCTGTGCATCGCTGGGAGTGACCCAAAAAGAAAGAGAAAGAAAGAGTGGAAAGAAAGAAGGAAGGAAGGAAGGAAGGAAGGAAGGAAGGAAGGAAGGAAGGAAAGGAAGAGAGAGTGGCTGGAGTGATAGCACAGCGGGGGTCGGGTTCGATTCCCAGCATCCCCTGGAGTCCCCCGAGCACCGCCAGGAGGAATTCCTGAGTGCATGAGCCAGGAGGAACCCCTGAGCATCGCCGGGTGTGACCCAAAAAGTAAAGAAAAAAATAAAGAACAAATTCTAGTTCTTTGCATGTATCAGGCATGCTCTAAAGGGGCAGTGGGTCCCACCTTCCCATCCTCGCACCCTCAGCCACACCCACAGTGCTCCCTGAGTCCAGAGGAGGAGGAAGCCCTGAGCACAGCTGGTGTGAGTGCCAAGACGCAAAGGGATTGGTTCAACAAGCTCTCCAGCTTTGGCTCAGAGCATCTCAGCCCCGTCCTGCGGCTCTGTGATTTCCAGGATGTAGGTAGGATACGGAGGGTTCTGCATCCTCTCAATCAATCAATGCATCAATCGATCCTTGTGGAAGTTGTTGATTGACATTGGGATAGTCTCCTCCTGTGAGGGAGGCGGACATGGGCACAGCTCCCGGGCAGCAGGGAGAGAGAGGGAAGGTGCCCTGGGATGGCCTTTGTGCGGAGAGTGAATCAGTGAACACACAGTTTCTCTGCAGACGCAGATGCAGACTTGTATGCTCCCCCACTGCCCTGCGGTGGTTATCTGCGATAGAAAAACTTTGCAGGGGGCTGGGGAGATGCGTCTGGGGTCCCCGTTGCAAGGCTGGAGCCTAGAGGCTGACTAAATCCTGAGCACTCTCTTCCACTCTTCCACTCTCGGACCGAGCACCCAAGTTGGCAGCTCAGGACCATGCCCAAAAACAAAGGAAACAAAGCCAAGAAAAAGGGAGTTAGGAGAAATATTTCTCTAGCTGTCCATTCACCACCAAACGGCAGCTGGTTCCGGGACAGAGATACAACAGTCCCAGGGAGACACAAGTCTTGCAGTTTGGCACTGAGCGTGGTTCAGAGACCACCCCTAGAGGGGCTTGGAGGACCCTGGACATGGTGCCAGGGCATCTGCATGCAAGGCAAGCATCTCCTCGCTGTGTTGTGTTCCCAGCCCTAAGGGGAGGGGACTTCCTCTGCACCTGGTCATAATCCCAACAGCTGGTCTTCTTTCTTAGCACCTTCTCAGCACACAGTGTCTTTTTTTTTTAGCCATACTGGGGACTCCCAAAGCTTTGGAAAAGCAAAAAAAAACAAAACAAAGCAAAAAAAAAAGCTCTGGATAAGAAGAAGAAGAAGAAGAAGAAGAAGAAGAAGAAGAAGAAGAAGAAGAAGGAGGAGGAGGAGGAGGAGGAGGAGGAGGAGGAGGAGGAGGAGGAGGAGGAGGAGGAGGAGGAGTTGAGGAGGAGGAGGAGGAGAAGGAGGAGGAGGAGAAGGAGGAGGAGGAGGAGGAGAGGAGGAGAAGGAGAAGAAGGAGAAGGAGGAGGAGGAGGAGGAGAAGAAGAAGAAGAAGAAGAAGAAGAAGAAGAAGAAGAAGAAGAAGAAGAAGGAGGAGGAGAAGAAGGAGAAGGAGGAGGAGGAGGAGGAGAAGAAGAAGAAGAAGAAGAAGAAGAAGAAGAAGAAGAAGAAGGAGGAGGAGGAGGAGGAGGAGGAGGAGGAGGAGGAGGACCCTGGAGACACTGGTGGTGGGAACTGTGCCCGGGTGGAGGGAGGGGGGTTGGAACCCTGTAGGACTGAAACCCAATCAGGAACAGCTTTCTAAGGGTCTATCCCATAATGATTCAGTAAAAAAGATTAAAAAATAAAATAAACTACCCTTAAAATACCAACAGGTGAAAGGAGGGAAACGGATATAGATGATCACCTTTCAATATCTGTATGGCAAATCAGAATGCCCATCAGGAGAGAGAGAGGAGGAGGAGGAGAAGGAGGAAGAGGAGGAGGAGAAGGAGTAGAAAAGGAGGAGGAAGAGGAGGAAGAAGAGGAGGAAGAGGAGAAGAAGGAGATGGAGGAGGAGGAGAAAGGGGAGGAAGAGGAGGGAGAGGAGGAGGAGAGAAGGAGGAGGAGGAGGAAGGGGAGGAGGAGAGGGAGGAGGAGGAGGAAGAGAAGAAGAGGAGGAGGAAAAAGAGGAGGAAGAGGAGAAGGAGATGGAGGAGGAGGAAGAGGAAGAAGAGGAGGAGGTGGAGAAGAAGAAGAAGAAGAAGAAGAAGAAGAAGAAGAAGAAGAAGAAGAAGAAGAAGAAGAAGAAGAAGAAGAAGGAGGAGGAGGAGGAGGAGGAGGAGGAGGAGAAGGAGGAGAAGGAGGAGGAGGAGAAGAAGGAGAAGAAGAAGAAGAAGAAGAAGAAGAAGAAGAAGAAGAAGAAGAAGAAGAAGGAGAAGAAGAAGAAGAAGCAGACGAAGAAGCAGAAGCAGAAGCAGAAGCAGAAGCAGAAGCAGAAGCAGAAGAAGAAGAAGAAGAAGAAGAAGAAGAAGAAGAAGATGATGACGACGACTACGACGACCTTCCACAGAGGCACACAGGGGGTGGAGTGTGGGGAGTGATGGGAAGGACCCGGGGACACTGGTGCTGGGAAATGTGTCCTGGTGGAGGGACGGGGGTTGGAACCCTGTAGGACTGAAACTCAACCATGAGAAGCTTTGTAGCTGCGTGTCTCAAGGGACCAATTACAAAAAAATAAAAATCAGGTCATGGGAAACTGGGCATCTCCTGATGTTTCTTAGAAACCGACGGAAGCAGGTGAGATAGTGCGTAGGGCGTTGTTGGCCTTGCAGGTGCCGATTTTCATTTGATCCCTAACACCGCGTCTGGTCCCCTGCGCCTTTCAGGAGCGACTCCTGAGCACAGAGCCAGGAGCAAGAGCTGGAGCACCTTGGGGCCCCAGCCGCAGAATGCAGTGCTCTCAAGCCAATGCTCTGTGTTCCCTCCTCATGGGGGAGGCAGCTTTAAAGTGCCCGGTTCGGCCCAGAGTGAGAGAGGAACGCGCATTCCCCGTGTGTCCCACCTGCCCGTGCGTGCGCAAGGAACTGCGGGTGCAGGTAGTGGAGAGAAAGAAGTGCGCTCCCTGGCACACAGGTGCGGTGCGTGCGCGTGCCAGCCGCGTCGGTGTGTGCGCAGGCGAGTGCCAAGTGTCTACCCCGAAGCGCGCGCTGTCCCAGGCCCAGGTGCGGTGCGCCCGTACCAACAGTGCATGCAGAAGTGGGCCATCTCGTGCCCAGCTGTGGTGTGCGCTTGCGCGCGTGGGCCAAGTGTCCACCCCGAAGCGCGCTCTCCCAGGCCCAGATGCGGTGCGCGCGTGCCAAGGGCGCACGCAGAAGCGGGATGTCCTTTGCCCAGCTGCGGTGTGTGCGTGGCGTGTGCCAAGTGTCCACCCTGAAACGAGCTGTCCCGTGCCCAGCAGCGGTGTGCGCGCGTGTGTGCCAAGTGTCCACCCCAAAGCGCGCTGTCCCAGGCCCAGGTGTGGTGCGCGTGCGTACCAAGAGCGCACGCAGAAGCGTGCTGTCCCGCGCCCAGCTGCGTCGGTGTGTGTGCGCGCGCGTGCCAAGTGTCCACCGCGAAGCGGGCGCTCTCCCAGGCCCAGGTGCAGTGCGCGTGCGTACCAAGAGCGCACGCAGAAGCGCGCTGTCCCGTGTCCAGCTGCGTCGGTGTGTGCACGCGTATGTGCCAAGTGTCCACCCCGAAGCGGGCGCTGTCCCAGGCCCAGGTGCAGTGCGTGTGCGTACCAAGAGCGCACGCAGAAGCGCGCTGTCCCGTGTCCAGCTGTGTCGGTGTGTGCACGCGTATGTGCCAAGTGTCCACCTCGAAGCGGGCACTGTCCCAGGCCCAGGTGCAGTGCGCGTGCGTACCAAGAGCGCATGCAGAAGCGCGCTGTCCCGTGCCCAGCTGCGTCGGTGTGTGCGCGCGTGTGCCAAGTGTCCACCTCGAAGTGGGCGCTGTCCCAGGCCCAGGTGCAGTGCGCGTGCGTACCAAGAGCGCACGCAGAAGCGCGCTGTCCCGTGTCCAGCTGCGTCGGTGTGTGCACGCGTATGTGCCAAGTGTCCACCCCGAAGCGGGCGCTGTTCCAGGGCCAGGTGCAGTGCGCGTGCGTACCAAGAGCGCACGCAGAAGCGCGCTGTCCCGCGTCCAGCTGCGTCGGTGTGTGCGGGCGTATGTGCCAAGTGTCCAGGCCCAGGTGCAGTGTGCGCGCGTACCAACAACGCATGCAGAAGTGGGCCATCTCGTGCCCAGCTGTGGTGTGCGCTTGCGCACATGTGCCAAGTGTCCACCCCGAAGCGCGCTCTCCCAGGCCCAGGTGCGGTGCGCGCGTGCCAAGGGCGCACGCAGGAGCGGGATGTCCTTTGCCCAGCTGTGGTGTGTGCGCGGCGTGTGCCAAGTGTCCACCCTGAAGCGAGCTGTCCCGTGCCCAGCAGCGGTGTGCGCGCGTGTGTGCCAAGTGTCCACCCCAAAGCGCGCTCTCCCAGGCCCAGGTGCGGTGCACGCGTGCCAAGGGCGCACGCAGAAGCGCGCTGTCCCGTGCCCAGCTGCGTCGGTGTGTGCGCGCGTATGTGCCAAGTGTCCACCCCGAAGCGGGCGCTGTCCCACGCCCAGGTGCAGTGCGCGTGCGTACCAAGAGCGCACGCAGAAGCGCGCTGTCCCGTGTCCAGCTGCGTCGGTGTGTGCGGGCGTATGTGCCAAGTGTCCACCCCGAAGCGGGCACTGTCCCAGGCCCAGGTGCGGTGCGCGTGCGTACCAAGAGCGCACGCAGAAGCGCGCTGTCCCGCGCCCAGCTACGTCGGTGTGTGTGCGCGCGCGTGTGCCAAGTGTCCACCGCGAAGCGGGCACTGTCCCAGGCCCAGGTGCAGTGTGCGCGCAACCAAGAGCGCACGCAGAAGCGCGCTGTCCCGTGCCCAGCTGCGTCGGTGTGTGCGCGCGTATGTGCCAAGTGTCCACCCCGAAGCGCGCGCTGTCCCAGGCCCAGGTGTGGTGCGCGTGCGTACCAAGAGCGCACGCAGAAGCGCGCTGTCCCGTGCCCAGCTGCGTCGGTGTGTGCGCGCGTATGTGCCAAGTGTCCACCGCGAAGCGCGCGCTCTCCCAGGCCCAGCTACGGTGCGCGCACGCACGTGCCAAGCGTCCACTCACCTGTAGAAGGCGTCGGCCGTCTGCTTGGAGGGCAGCCGCCAGAGAATGCGCGTCCAGGGCTCCCCGGACGCGCGGCAGTGCAGGCGCAGCGTGGCCCCGTAGCGCACGTCGGTGCGCTCGGGGGAGGCGCTGGTGATGCGCGCCTGGGCGGCCGCCGCGCGCTCCACCTGCAGCCGCGCCGTCCTGCGCGCGGTGCCCACCAGGTTGGCGGCCACGCACTCGTAGCGGCCGCTGTCGCGCGGCGCCAGGTGGCGGATGAAGAGGGTGCCGTTGGGGAAGACGAACAGGTGGCCGCGCACGAACTGCGAGGGGCGTACGTGGGTGCCATCCGGCAGGACCCAGCGCACGCTGGGCGGGGGTGCGGCCCGGGCCGTGCAGTGGACGTGCAGGCTCCGCCCGGCGGCCACCGTGATGTTCTCCCACGCGTCCTGCTGGATGACCGGGGGCAGCGCGGCCACGTGCAGCCGGATGGCCAGGCTGTCCGCCCCGGCCGCGTTGCTGGCCACGCAGCGGTACACGCCGCGGTCGGAGAAGGCGGCGTCGCGGATGGACAGCGTGCGGTTCTCGTGCAGGGTGACCCTGCCGTCCACGCCGGGGCCCGAGCGCCACGCGCGGCCGTCGGGGAAGAGCCAGGAGATGTGCGGGGCCGGCGTGCCCTGGGCCAGGCACTGCATGGACACCGAGTCGCCCAGGTGCACGGTCACGTCCTGCAGGCGCGAGGCCAGGATGTGCGGTTGCTGCGTGACCACGGCCAACTGGACGCTCCGCCTGTCCACGCCGTGCAGGTTCTGGGCCGTGCAGGTGTACTGCCCGCGGTCCTGGGGCTGGGCCCCGCGGATGACCAGGGTGCCGTTCCTCAGCACCTCGAAGCGGCCCACCCGGGTGCTGGGGGTGATCAGGGCACCTGGGGAGCAGAGAAGGACGCGGGTATCAGCACCCAAAGGTCCCCCCAGGGCGTCCCAGGCCTGCACCGGGGTCCTGCTAGGCTGGGCGCACACGCCCGATTCCACCCCACCTCCAGGCCTGGAACGGGGACCTTTGGGTGCAGGCTGGCCCTTGCATGCACCAGGCAGTCAGTTGGGGTCCCATGGAATGTTCTGGAAGATGCCAGGAGTTTCCACATCACCCCCTGCACCCAGATGCCCGCCCTCTTGGGAAATGAATCTTTTTTTTTTTGCATTCTAACCCCCTCTTCTGCTCTGACATGAACATCAGGCCCAAAATTGGACCGATGGGGGTGGGGGGTGCACTAGGTAATCGGTCTGGGTTCCATGGAATGTTCTAGAAGGTACCGGGAGTTTCCCCCAGGTGCCCTACCTTTTGGGAGACAAATCTTTTTTCCATTCTAACCTCCTTCAGCTCTGGCATGAACATCAGGTCCAAAATTAGGCAGAGGGGATGTGGGAATGTTCTGGAAGGTACTAGGAGTTTCTGCATCATCACCCCCAGGTGCCCTCCTCCTTGGGAGACATTCTAACCCACCTTTCCTCTGACATGAACATCAGGTCCCAAATTGGACAGATGGTGGCAGGGGGATGCACTAGGCAGTCGGTCTGGGTTCCATGGAATGTTCTAGAAGGTGCTGGGAGTTTCCCCCAGGTGCCTTACCTTTTGGGAGACAAATCTTTTTTTCAGTCTAACCTCCTTCTGCTCTAGCATGAACATCAGGTCCAAAATTGGACAGATGGGATGTGTGTGTGTGTGTGTGTGTGTGTTTGTGTGTGTGTGTGCGCGCGCGTGCGTGGGGCGGGGGGATGCATCAGGCAGTGCATGGAATATTCTGGAAAGTGCCAGGAGTTTCTACATCATCACCCCCAGCTGCCCTCCTTCTTGGGAGACAGATCTTTTTGCATTCTAAACCCCACACCCTCTGCTCTGACATGAACATCAGGGTCCAAATTTGACAGATGGGGGTGGTGGGTACACTAGGCAATCGGTCAGGGTTCCATGGAATGTTCTAGAAGGTGCTGGGAGTTTCCCCCAGGTGCCCGCCCTCTTGGGAGACAGACCTTTTTTGCATTATAACCCTTCTCCTTTCTGACATGAACATCAGGACCCAAATTGGGCAGATGGGGGCGGGGGGATGCACTAGACAGTTGGTCTGGGTTCCATGGAATGTTCTAGAAGCTGCCAGGAATTTCTACATCATCACCCCTAGGTGCCTTCCATCTTGGGAGATAGATTGTAACCCCCCATCTGCTCTGACATGAACATCAGGCCCAAAATCGGGCAGATGAGGAAAGGGGAGATGCACCAGGCAATCAGTCTGGGTCCCATGGAATGTTCTGGAAGTTTCTGGGAGTTTCCACATTATCCCGCCCCCCCCCCCCAGGTGCCTTCGCTCTTGGAAGAGAAATCTTTTGCATTCTAACCTCCCTCCTTCAGAATTGGGCTGAGGAGGGGCAGGGGATGCACCAGGCAGTCCGTCTGGATCCCGTAGAATGTTCTAGAAGCTGCTGGGAGTTTCCCCCAGGTGCCCTCTCTCTTGGGAGACGCATCTTTTGGTATTCTAACCCCTTCCTTTCTGACATGGACACCAGGCCCAAAACTGGGCTGGGGGAGGGAGGGAAGATGCACCAGGCAGTTACTCTGGGTTCCATGGAATGTTCTGGAAGCTGCCAGGAGCTCCCAGGAACTGTGCTTGTTGGGAGACAAAGCGTTTTTGCATCCCGCCCTCCCTCCATCCTAACTAATGCACAAGGCCTCAAATGCTCGAATGGGGTATGGGACATCCCTGGCATGCACAGGTCAGTAAGCCTTTGTTCTGCGGAATGTTCTGGAAGGTGCCGGGAGCTTCCAGGTACCCTGGGCTCTTCTGATAGTTCAGACACAAATTCTCCTTTGCTGACTCCTCCTTGGTGTGAGTGCCGTGGTCCAGAAGTTGCGGGGTGTATACGTCTGTGTGTATATGTGTGTGTATGCGCATGTAGGTGTGTGGTAGTGTATGTCGGTGTCTGTGTGTATGTTTGTGTACATGTCTACGTGTATGTTCCTGTGTGTGTGTATATACGTATATACATGAACGGGTATGTGTGTTTGTGTCTGTGTGTGTATATATGTGTGTGAATGTGTCTGTGTGTGTCTGTGAGTGTAAGTGTGTAAATGTGTTGTAAATGTGTGAATGTGTGTATATGTATCTATGTGTGCATGAGTGTGTATGTGTATATATGTGTATTTGTGTGTACATATGTGTATGTGTGTATATATGTGTGTGTTTATGTATATAAATGTGTGCATGTGTGTGTATGTGTGTATGCATGTGTGAGTGTCTCTGTATGGGTGTATGTGTGTGCATGTGTGTAACTGTGTGTGTCTGTGTGTATATGTGGGTGTAAGTGCATGTATATAGATGTGCATGTGTGTATGTGTGTGCATGTGTGTGTATGTGCCTGTCTGTGCCTATATTTTTATGTGTGCTCATTTGTGTGTACATGTGTATATGTGTGTGTACGCAGACTCATCCCTAAGTCAACCAAGAGAACTGCTCTGTGTCCAGCTGGGCGGTGTGCCCACTGTCCCATTTGCAGGCCGGTGGGGACGTCTCCATTGCGACAGCCGTCAGCTTCTCTCATGCCCTGCTGGAGCTTCCAGAGGTGTCTGTGACCCCCCAAGAGTCCATCTTAACTGACTGCAGGGGGACATCAGGGATGCTCAAGGACCGGCCAGTGCGTCTGCTGTACCACTCATGCCACCTGCCAGGAACCCTTCACCTGGAAACCACCTCACTGGTCCTCCATTGTGAAGCTCTCAGAAGCCAACATGTCACGGAAGCCACGGCTTGTCACATGTCGGGACCAGAGGCTTGGAGTGTTCGGCTCCAGAGCCAACAAGCTGGGAGCACACAGTCCCATGAACCAGCCCCATCCGTACTCAGAGAAAACCGTCTGTTTTCTGCAGAGAATCCCCCCAGTGTGCAGTTCCCTGCTGGCCATGCTGAGAACCCCCCAGTGTGCAGTTCCCTGCTGGCCATGCTGAGAACCCCCCAGTGTGCAGTTCCCTGTTGGCCATGCGGAGAATACCCAGTGTGCAGTTCCCTGTTGGCCATGAGGAGAATCTCCCCAGTGTGCAGTTCCCTGTTGGCCATGCGGAGAATCCCCCCAGGGTGCAGCTCCCTGTTGGCCATGCTGAGAACCTCCCATTACGCAGTTCCCTGTTGGCCATGCAGAGAATCCCCGTGTGCAGTTTCCTGTTGGCCATTTGGAGAATACTCCCAGAGTGCAGTTTCCTGTTGGCCATGCAGAGAATTCCCCCAGTGTGCAGTTCCCTGTTGGCCATGCAGAGAATTCCCCCAGTGTGCAGTTCCCTGTTGGCCATGCAGAGAATCCCCATGTGCAGTTTCCTGTTTGCCATTTGGAGAATACCCCCAGAGTGCAGTTCCCTGTTGGCCATGTGAAGAATCCCCCCAGTGTGCAGTTCCCTGTTGGCCATGTAGAGAATCCCCCCAGAGTGCAATCCCTGTTGGCTATGCGGAGAATCCCCCCAGTGTTCAGTTCCCTGTTGGCCATGCGGAGAATCCCCACAGTGTGCAGTTCCCTGTTGGTCATGCCCTGAGCACCAATGAAAGACCAATTTTCCCATGTAACTGCAAATTGTGCCAAATCGGGAGACTTGGGAAAGAAGACTCAGCCGGGCTGGCACAGAACTGGGCACGTGGGGCACCGTTCACTCATGGTTTATGCCTCAGTTTCTCCTCGGGGCTCTGCAGCTGTCATCCCTCGCCATCCAACTACACAACCCCTGCCTCATTGCCACGGTGATGCACCCGCCCTGGGCACCCGGGTCTGCCAGGGCACACGCCATGCCTCTGGGGTTGCTTGGAAACCAGGCACTGCCCACTGCGTCCAGCCCAGCTCAACTTGGAGCATCCTGAAGAACCGGGAAACCTCCTGATGTTCAGACTTTCTACCCATGCACAGCCAAGGGCCCCGCATCGTTCACGGAACACAGTGATCTGTTGTGAGTCACTGTGAAGAGTTGTGAGTCTGCCCCAGCCCATCTGGTGTCCATGGGCCCAGGACATTCTGCAACGCAGCTTCTGTCCACCCCTGCCCGGAACCCAGTGGCACCCAGCCCGGCTTTGTCCTTGGATGGCCGAGCTTGAGCCGCTCCTAGACTCCAAACCCTTTCAGCAGTGTCCTGGCTGCCTTGCTACCTCCTGTCTGCACCCAGTTCCTTCCCTCGCACCCCTGAGGCTGCACTTGGTCCCCTCTCTGGCTCCCCGGGCCCCATAAACTCACCTGTGGACACTTTGGTCCAGGTGACCAGGGGCTCCGGCTTCCCGGTAGCCTGGCAGGGCAGGGCCACTTCTCCATCGGCCGAGACGGACGCCGTGTGCGGGAACTGTGTGATGATCTGAGGTTTCTCCCCAGCCGCCCAGAACGGGGAGGCCGGTGCTCCGCCAGGGGAGACGACTCGGAAGCCCCCCTGGGGGCCATTTCTGGAGGGCTGGAAGGGAGGTGTCGGGGGGCTTGGAGGCGGTCTCTGGGTGCGGGTGGATGGGGGCCGGCTGGTGCTGGTGGTGGCTGCAGTTCTCCACGGAGGTGCCGGGGGCCCCAAGTTCAGGTGGAAAATGCTCTGCCCGAGGACTCTGGGGTGGACGCTGGGGCCGGGTCTCCGAGGAACTGAGGTTGGGGGCCGAGAGGTGGCCGGGGGAGTCGGGGGCGTCCACCGGAGAGACGGGAATGTGACGACGGACTCGGCGGGGAATGCAGGTCTCTGTCGGGGCGGAGGGCGAGAGCCGGCCACGTCCGGGAGTTCGTTGCTGGGCTGGAACACGACGCTGGTGCCCGCCGTGGCCACGCGGGACCCTTTCCCGGGGGTCTGCGGGCGCGCCGAGGGACCCCGTGGCGGGGGCACCCCGGGGAGCCTGGGCGTGGGGAACTGTTTGTTCAGCCACGCCCAGGGCGGGTAACCGGAGACTCTGGGCTTGGTGGTAACCGTGCGCCACGGAGGGAAGGGGCTGGGGGTGCCCCCGTAGGAGGGTCTCAGGGTCACCCTAGGGGGGACGAGGCCAGGACGCCTCGTTGCCAGGGGTCTCACCGTGCCGCCTGGGCCGGCGGGACTCGCCGGGGGTCCCGGCTGTGTCTTCGGGACGCTCTGCAGTGCCGGGGTGGTGGATTTGGTCTCTGCGGCGTGGCCGGCTGTGGGGAGGGCCGTGGGGGCTGCAGGTGTTTCTCGGGGGGCTCCCTGGGGTGGCAGTGTCCCTTTGCTCCCCCGGTCTTCCTCTGGACGCTGTGTCCAAGCCCCCCTGTGCGGTGAGGAGTGGGTACTGAATGCACCATGAGGTTGCAGCTCAGATGCTGGGTGCCACGCGGTTCCCAGGTCCACGGGGGCGCCCCAAGGACGCTGCCGAGCTGGGACAGTGTCCGGTTTCTGTGAGGACCCGGTGGGGCCAGGGAGGGGCCGTCCAGGGCCGTCGGTGCTGGGCCCAGCTGCTGGGGCAGCCAGGGAGGTTGAGGTCACGGGTGCGACGTGGATGATTTGTGCAGAGTTGGAACTGGGGAGAACGGGCTCCCAAGACGGGCGGACAGGACTGTCTGTCTGTGCAGCTGTGGATGCAGTGAAACTGGAGGCTTCTAAAAAGCCGGTGGGAGGGGAGTCTTCTTCCTGGGTGGTTGCGGATGCAGAGCCCAGCGGGGTGGATGGGACGCCCGACACGGTTCCCACTTCTGTGGCTAACTTGGGACGCCCGGTGCGGGCGGACAGCCCAGGACTCAGCCCAGGGCTCTGTGTTCCGTCAGCTGGGGGCCCGGCTCCGTGCCGGACGGGGGTGGAGAGTGGGGGCTCCCCCCGGGAAAGGCCCCATGTCGGGGGTGGCCCGAGGTTGCCGCTGTGCCTCGTACTGGCTGTGCTGTCAGGAGCGGGAAGCGTCATCGGCCTGGTCACGGTTAAGAGGATGGTAGGAACTGTGACCGGCAGCAGCGTCGTGGTGAAGGATGTGGCAGGGGTTCGTGTTGCCATGGTGGTGGGGGGCGGAGGAGGCCGTGTGCCATGGGGAGTCACGGTTTGGGGTCTCCTCGTGGCTCTCGGGGTCGTGGTTGTGGCCGAGGAGGAGGAAGAGGAGGAGGGAGAGGAGGAGAAGAAGAAGGAGGAGGGGAAGGAGGAAGAGAGAGAGGAGGAGGAGGGAGAGGGGGAAGAGGGAGAGGAGGAGGGGAATAAAGAGGAAGAAGAAGAGGAGGATGGGGAGGAGGAGGAGGAGGAGGAAGAGGATGGGGAGGAGGAACTGGAGGATGGGGAGAAGGAGGAGGAGGAAGAGGAGGGGAAGGAGGAGGAAGAGGAGGAGGAGGAGGAAGAAGAGGAGGAGGAGGAAGAAGAGGAAGAGGAGGAAGAGGAGGAGGCGTGCATGGTGGGCCCCCGGCTCTTGGGGGGCCGCCTTCCGTGCTTCCTGCGTGTCTTCCCCCTGTTACTGTGTTCCGCGGGATGCTGCAAGATCCTCTCTGGGGTGGGCGAAGCCCTGGACGCCCCATGTCCCCAGGTGTTAGCGGTTGTCGCTGGGGGTTGGGTGGGCACGGTTGGGGGGTCCGTGGTGGTCCTCGGGGCGGGTCTGTGCTGCCTCCTCCTCCCGCTCCCGCCCTGTGACCGTCTTCGAGGCGGGAGACCAGCAGGCGCCTGGAGACGGCCACTGGTGGCTGGGTCTCTCCCCGCCGGGCTGGCTTCCGTCCGCGCCTCACTTTCCCTCCGCGGGGTGTGCGGCGGCTCAGCTGCGGTGGGCAGTGCCTCCTCCAGTCCCCGCTGGGAACTGTGTGTCCCCTCCCAGGGCTGTGTTGTTGCAGCGACCGTGTCCGGCTCTGATGTCCAGGACTTGGTGGGCCCAGGGGGCGGTGGTGAGGAGCGGGCGTCATCTGCGCGCTGTGGGGGGCGTGAGTTGTCCTGGGTGGACGCGTCCACGGCGGGTTGTGAGCTGGGCGGCTGCATGGGGCTCTCGGCCCATGGGGCAGCCACCAGCGGGGACTCGGCCGTGCCCGGCGGCAGAGTTGGGGATGCGGAGGTGGGCACTGCACCGGGTGCGGAGGAGCCCTCGGTGTGCGTGAGCCGGGTCTGGACATGTGTGTCCACACTGTCTGGCGTTTGGCTAGGAGGAGGCGGAGGAGGAGGAAGAAGAGAAGGAGAAGAAGGAGAAGGAGAAGAAGGAGGAGAAGGAGAAGAAGAAGAAGAAGAAGTAGAAGAAGAAGAAGAAGAAGAAGAAGAAGAAGAAGAAGAAGAAGAAGAAGAAGAAGAAGAGGAGGAGGAGGAAGAAAAAGGAGGAGAAGGAGGAGAAGAAGGAGAAGGAGGAGGAGGAGGAAGAAGAGAAAGAGGAGGAGGAAGAGGAGACCGTTCGAACGTAGCCGTGTTCTCCTCTTCCTCTTGACCATGAGCATTGGTGGACACAGTGACGGCGATTCCCGGGGCAGTGCTGTTCACGGTTTCCTGCTCCCACATGGACACATCCATCCCGGACACATCCTCCTCCTCCTGCTCCTCCTCCTCCTCCTTCTCCTCCTCCTCCTCCTCCTGCTCCTCCTCCTCGGCCACGAGGGCCCCATCTGCCGACGCCTCCACAGGGCCAGTCGTGCCGGGCACTTCGTCCAAGCTGGGCGTGGTGGGTACCGGTGACGCCTCGGCCGTGGCAGGGACCAGGGTGCCCTTGGGGGCCGTGCGTCCTCGCACCCGGGCCAGGATGTCCGCCCACTGCTGCGGGTGGATGGACTTGCTGGCCATGCTGCCCCGGCGCCGAGACTCGAACGCCCGCCGGCTCTCGGCCATGTGACCATCCGGTTGCTTGGCCGCCGCCGCCGCCGCCATGGCCCAGGGCTTCATCTTCCGGCGCCCCTTCCTGCCGGCCGGCAGCCGGGCCTCATCCTTCGCGTGCAGAAACAGTTCCTGGTCGTGGGCGTGCAGCAGGGAACCTCTGGTGGACGGCGTGTCCTCTGGGCTCAGCCCGGAGCCTCCTACATCGTCCAGAGACTCGGTTCCTGCCCTGCCGCCAACTGGGCGCCGGCCCCTCTTGGAAGCTCTTCTGGAGGAGGAGGAGGAGGAGGAGGAGGAGGAGGAGGAGGAGGAAGGTCCTGGGCGGCTGACCAGAACTTCCACGGTCATTCGGTCTTTCCCCTGTGGATTGACAGCCAGGCAGGTGTAGTAACCCGCATCGGCGGGTTGCAGTTCCGGTATGATCAAGGCACCGTGTCCATCCACGAAGGTGCGGGAACCATTGGCTTTGTGCTGTACCATGCGGCCACCGGGCAACACCCAGCTGAGTTCTGCATCGGGCACGGCTCCCGGGGCCCCGCAGGGCAGGGTGAGCCGCTCCCCCCGCTGCTTCCGGACTTTTCCGCCTGGCCGGGCCCCGGCCGGCTGCACCAGGACACGGTGCACCAGCTGGTCCGTCTCACCCGGCACCTGCGCCAAGCAGCGGTAGAGGCCGGAGTCGGCCCTCCGCGCCCCCCGGATCCTCAGCCCGCCGCTGGGGAGGACGGAGAAGCGGCCGGCGGGGTCCTGGTACGGCGCCTTCAGCACCGAGCCCCCCGGCAGGACCCAGGACAGGGCCGGGCTCTCGGACGCCTTCACGTTGCAACTCAGTTGACAGGTAGCGCCCTCGGCGACCGCGTGGGCCGTGGGTCCCGGCTCGATCATCACCCAGCTCGGGCCGGTTCCCCGTGGCTGCGCGTCCTTGGCGGGCACTGTGAGGGCCAACGGCGAGGAGTACAAGAGCCGGACCCGGTTGGCTGAGCTCTGCCTGCGGTTCAGCTGTAGATGCAGTGACGGTTGCAGTATCCATGCCGGCTCGGCCACAGCGTGGGCCCGGACGCCCGTGTAGTAGAGGGCGTCGGCGTCCGCGGCGTCCTGCAGGTACTGGCCGGGCTGTGCATCGTCCCGGCGCATCTTCACAGGGACCTCGCTGTAGTAGGCGATGAGTTGCCACAACTGCTCGTACTTCTCCCGGGTCATGCCGCACTCCAGCTCCATGGTCACGGTGCCGTTGACGTCCAGCTCGGCCGCCTCTGTCTGGTTGAGCTGGACCTGCTCCAGCCGCGGGGGCCGCCGGACGCCGCAGGCCAGTTGCACTGTGTTCCCGTGGGCGTCGCTCATGTTGAAGGAGATGGTCCAGCTCGCAGACGGGAGGGCGGCGGCGTCTTCCAGGTCCTCTTCCTCGTCGTCCTCCTCCTCCTCTTCCTCTTCCTCCTCAGTTTCCGGGTTGTCCCGGGTGTGGTTGAGCCTCAGAGGGGACTCGATGCGGGGCTTGTGGCAGACCAACGCCGAGAGCTTCTGCAGTTCCCGGGTCCTCAGCGCCCGGGGACTGGAGCAAGCGGGACACACCTGGCCGCCCTCCAACGCTTTGTCCTTCTTGCATTTGAGGACCCCTACGGGGGAGAGAAGTCAAGGCCGGGGGGGCCCGTGAGTACGTGGCCCCGGGGGAGAAGGTCTCACCCCTGCCATCATCCCTCCTTCATTTCCCAGTTCCCTCACTCCCTTGTTCCTCGTTTCCTTCTTCGCACAAACCTAGTGGTGACACATCCACGATGCACCAAGTTAAGGACGCAGACCTGACTCTGCAGTGTCATCTCATTAAAACACAAAGACTTGGGGCTGGAGCGAGAGCCCAGCGGGGAGGGCGTTGGCCTGGCACGCGGCCGACCCGGGTTCGATTCCCGGCATCCCCTAGGGCTCCCCGAGCACCGCCAGGAGTCACTCCTGAGTGCAGAGCCAGGAGGAACCGCTGAGCATCGCCGGGTGGGACCCAAGAAGTAAAAAAAAAAAAAGACTCTCTCAGGGTCAGATTGCATTTTCATGCATCTAACTATGATTTGTTTTTTCAAATTTCTGGCCCCACGTAGAGGCCACCGAGGCCCAAGAGAGCAAGAATCTGGAATATCTGGGGGACATCAAGTCACAAAATAGGAAACTGAACACCCAAGAATGGCTGAGATTAGTACCAGGAGGTTCACTCCATGGCTTGGAGGCCAGCCGCACACGCTAGGGGAAAAGGCAGCTCAGATAGAGAAGGGAGCACCAAGTCAAGGGTGCTGGGAGGATCCTCCCAGGATGGGAGATGCATGTTGAAAGTGGACTCTAGACCGAACACGATTGCCACTCAGTGCCTCTCTTGCAAAACACAGTGCCCAAAAGGAGAGAGAGAACAGAAGGGAATGCCCTGCCACTGAGGCAAGGTGGGATGGGGGGGATGGGGGATGGGAGGGATACTGGGACCCGTGGTGGTGGTGGAAAATGGGCCCTGGTGGAGGGACGGGTACTCGATCATTGTGTAACTGAAACCCAAGCACAAAAATTTGTGAGTCTACAACTGCACCTCATGGTGTTGCACTAACAAAAATTAAAAATTTTTAAAAAAAAGAGTCTGGAATAAGCCCCGAGCACTGCCAGGTATGGCGCAAACAGTGACTGAGTGTTTTGAGAAGTCCGTAAAGGCACACACACACACAAAAATTAACACCTTGACAACAAGAAGGACTATGCAGCAGGTAAGAAGCGGCTGGTCTCTTGGGTCCATCCCTGGCAGCTAGCAGAGTCCCCCCAAGGATGTCCAGGAGTGAGTGACCCCTGAGCGTCAGCAGAGGTCGACTCCCCCCCCCACCCAGTGTCCTGAGGACTGGCGAAAAGCCCTGGATACACAGACCCAGGAATACCCAGATTCACACACAACACACACACACACACACACACACCATCTATAGGAACACGTTTTCACCGACACTGATCCAAGCCATGCACACACACGTCTACGCCTTCACACGCACACAGACACACGGATGTTTATGCAGACACAGAGATGTGTGATGCGTGAGAACACATGTACACCAGAGACCCAAGCACACATGCAGACACACACACATATATATATACGCTTATACAAACATAGGCACACATATGGACAAATGCGGACATGTGAATGAATATACATGCCTGCTCACAGACATGTAGACACAGGCATATTATACCCAGAGACACACATGCGTGATGCATGAGACCACGTGTACACATGCTTATACCCAGAGACACACGCATGATGCACGAGACCACGTGTACACCAGAGACCCAGACATGCACTTACAGGCATATGTCAACATAAGACCCATACACACATGCCTATACAGATGCAACTCACACGTGCATGGATAGACATACGGATACACACACGCATGCATGTATGTGCATGGTCAAGCACACGTGAACAAACACACATGCACTCACATATATGCATGCTTATACAAACATAGGCACACATATTGACAAATGCATACCCATGAGTGAATATGCATGCCTGATCACATACATGTAGACACACGCCTATACCCAGAGACACACGCGTGATGCATGACACCACGTGTACACCAGAGACCCAGACATGCACTTTCAGGCATCTGTCTGTACAAGGCCCATACACACATGGCTATACAGATGCAACCCACACGTGCATGGATACACGTATGTATATACACACAGGCATGCATGTATGTGCATAGTCATGCACACGTGAACAAACACACATGCAGACACACATATATATGCATGCTTATACAAACATAGGCACATATACGAACAAATGTGGACACATGAATGAATATGCATGCCTGCTCACAGACATGTAGACACATGCTTATACCCAGAGAAACACACGCGTGATGCACGACACCACATGTACACCAGAGACCCAGACATGCACTTTCAGGCATCTGTCTGTACAAGGCCCATACACACATGCCTATACAGACGCAGTCCACATGTGCATGGATACACATACAGATACAGACACGTGTGCATCATGTATGTGCATAGTCATGCACACGTGAACAACCACACATGTACTCACAAACATGCATGCTTATACAAACATAGGCACATTTACGGACAAATGTGGACACATGAATGAATATGCATGCCTGCTCACAGACATGTAGACACACGCTTATACCCAGAGACACACACGTGTGATGCATGACACCACGTGTACACCAGAGACCCAGACATGCACTTACATACATATGTCTGTACAAGGCCCATACACACATGGCTATACAGATGCAACCCACACGTGCATGAATACACATATGGTTACACACATGTATGCATGTATGGGCATAGTCATGAACTTGTGAACAAACACACATGCACTCACATACATGCATGCTTACACAAACATAGGCACATACACGGACAAATGCAGACACGTGAGTTAATATGCATGCCTGCTCACAGACATGTAGACACATGCTTATACCCAGAGACACACATGCGTACACAGGGCACGTCTGTGGACATATGCAGAAGTCCATATAAATACACACATACGCATGGCACCCAGGCAGGCAATGCCTGCACAAATACACACATACACACACACATGCACACAGGGGCAGAGACATATATGCAAAGAGACACACATGCAGACACACACACATGCATACTTGCACAAGCACGCATGCAGATATATCCTTATAGACACAGGCACACACGTGTGTATACATGCATGTATACTTGGACACACCAGCGGGCACACACATGCAGGTACACACTTCGACAAATGGAACTGCACGCGTCTCCACAGGGCTCATGTGCAGATACACGTGTGCACACAAGAGAGTACATCTCAACACATGCCACTTGCAGGGCGTGCTGGACACACATGCAGGCAGGTTTCTCTACCCGGGCCCATGCGCATCCGTGGGAACACACAGAAACACTGTCACGGTCACGGTCCTCCCGTTGTTCATCGATTTGCTCGAGCGGGCCCAGTAATGTCTCCATCGTGACACTTGTTACTGTGTTTGGCATCTCGAATACGTCATGGGTAGCTTGCCAGGCTTTGCCGTGCAGGCGAGATACCCTCGGGAGCTTGCCGGGTTCTCCGAGAGGGGCGGAGGAATCGAACCCGGGTCGGCCATGTTGGCCGCGTGCAAGGCAAACGCCCTACGTGCTGTGCTATCGCTCCAGCCCACACAGAAACACATTCACCGATATGTTCCTGACGCTCCACACATGTACAGATGCAGAGCCCCACATGGGGCATTTGCAGGAGCAGAAATTTCGACGTCATGCACGGCTGTCCAACTATGCACACACACATGTAGACACAGTACTAGGTGGGCGCTCTGTCGAGACCTTTCTTTTCTTTCTTTCTTTTTTTTTTTTTGCTTTTTGGGTCCCACCTGGCGATGCTCAGGGCTGCCTCCTGGCTCTGCACTCAGGAATGACTCCTGGCGGTGCTCGGGGGGACCAGGGGATGCCGGGGATCGAACCCGGGTCGGCCACGTGAAAGGCCAACGCCCTCTCCACTGGGCTCTCGCTCCAGCCCCTCTCTCTTCCTTCCTTCCTTCCTTCCTTCCTTCCTTCCTTCCTTCCTTCCTTCCTCCCTTCCTCCCTTCCTCCCTCCCTCTCTCTTTCTTTCTTTCCTTTCTTTTTTGGGTCCCACCCAGCAATGCTCAGGAGCCCCTCCTGGATCTGCACTCAGGAATGATTCCTGGTGGTACTCGGGGGGACCCTAGGGGATGCTGGGAATCGAACCCAGGTCGGCCGCGTGCCAGGCAAATGCCCTCCCTGCTGGGCTATTACTCCAGCCCCTTTCTCTCCCTCCCTCCCTCCCTCCCTCCCTCCCTTCCTTCCTTCCTTCCTTCCTTCCTTCCTTCCATCTCTTTCTCCCTCTCTTTCTTTCTTTTCTTTCTTTTTTGGATCCCACCCGGCGATGCTCAGGGGTCCCTCCTGGCTCATGCACTCAGGAATGACTCCTGGCAGTGCTCGGGGGACCCTAGGGGATGCTGGGAATCGAACCCGGGTCGGCCGCACACCAGGCAAACAAACGCCCTCCCCACTGGGCTATCGCTCCAGCCCCTCTCTCTCTCTTCCTTCCTTCCTTCCTTCCTTCCTTCCTTCCTTCCTCTCTTTCTCTCTCTCTTTCTTTTCTTTCTTTTTTGGGTCCCACCTGGCGATGCTCAGGGGTCCCTGCTGGCTCATGCACTCAGGAATCACTCCTGGTGGTTCTCAGGGAACCCTATGGGATGCCGGGACTCGAACCCAGGTTGGTCACGTGCCAGGCAAACAAACACCCTCCCCGCTGGGCTATCGCTCCAGCCCCTCTCTCTCCCTTCCTTCCTTCCTTCCTTCCTTCCTTCCTTCCGTCCTTCCTTCCTTCCTTCCTTCCACCCTCCCTCCCTCCCTCCCTCCTTCCTCCCTCCCTTTCTTCCTTCCTTCCTCTCCCTTTCTTCCTTCCTTCCTTCCTCTCCCTTTCTTCCTTCCTTCCTTCCTTCCTTCCTTCCTTCCTTCCTCCCTCCCTCCCTTCCTTCCTCCCTCCCTCCCTTCCTTCCTTCCTTTCTCCTTCCTTCCTTCCTTCCTTCCTTCCTTCCTTCCTTCCTTCCTTCCCCTTCCTTCCTTCCTTCCCCTTCCTTCCTTCCTTCCTTCCTTCCGTCCTCCTTTCCTCCCTCCCTCCCTCCCTCCTTCCCTCCCTCCCTCCCTCCCTTCCTTCCTTCCTCCCTTCCTTCCTTCTCCTTCCTTCCTTCTCCTTCCTTCCTTCCTTCCTTCCTTCCTTCCTTCCTTCCTTCTTTCCTCCCTCCCTCCCTCCTTCCCTCCCTCCCTCCCTCCCTCCCTTCCTTCCTTCCTCCCTTCCTTCCTTCTCCTTCCTTCCTTCCTTCCTTCCTTCCTTCCTCTCCCTTTCTTCCTTCCTTCCTTCCTTCCTCTCCCTTTCTTCCTTCCTCCCTTCCTCCCTTCCTTCCTTCCTTCCTTCCTTCCTTCCTTCCTCCCTCCCTCCCTCCCTCCTTCCTTCCTTCCTTCCTTCCTTCCTTCCTTCCTTCCTTCCTCTCTTTCTCTCTTTTCTTTCTTTTTTGGGTCCCACCCGGCGATGCTCAGGGGTCCCTCCTTGGGTGGGGCTTGCAACCCCACAGTGCTTTGCACAAGGGCGGGTTTCCAGCCCCTTACTCTGTAAGTGGCTGCAGTCCCAGTGCCCCTTGGCTCGTGGCTGGGTTTCCAGCACCTTCTACCTTCCCCCCCGGGCTGCGTCCGGACACCCCAACTCCGCCTCCTCGTCCCCGTCGTCGTCTCACCTTTGGCCTTGGCCTCCCACTCCAGCAGCCACTGCAGGCGGCAGTCGCAGGCCCAGGGGTTGCTGTGGAGGAAGAGGTTCTCCAGCACGGGCATGCCGTCCAGCACGGCCCGCGGCAGCCCGGTCAGCAGGTTCTCGGCCAGGTACAGGTGCCGTAGGGTGGAGAGCGGGAAGTGTCCCAGGAAGGAGAAGGTGGCGAAGGTGTCCGGGTGCAGCTGCCGGAGGAGGTTGCCCTCCAGGTGCAGGAGACGCAGGGACGTGAGGCCGGCGAAGGCCTGCGGCTGGATGAACTCGATCTTGTTGTGGTCCAGGTGGAGTCGTAGAAGATTCCAGAGACCCTTGAGCGTCTGGGCCGTGACCACCTTGAGCTTGTTGTAGCTGAACTTGAACACCTGCGAACACACGGCCGGTGGGCGGGGTGCTACCAGGCAGGGAGGAGGATCGGCGGTGGGTGGGCGTGATCCGCGCGGGCGTGTCTGCGTGTCTACGTCTGTGTCTGTGTGGGCGTTTCATACGTGCGTGTGCAAGTAGGCGCGTGTGTATGCATGCGTGTCTCGTGCGTGGATGCATGACCGAACACACGTATGTGTATATAGGTATTTTCTGCAGGTGTGCCCGCATGCAATTTTTTTTTTAATTTATCACACGTGTGTCCACGTGTCTTCATGTCACTGTCACTGTCCTCCCGTTGTTCATTGATTTGCTCGAGCGGACACCAGTCACGTCTCCATTGTGAGACTTTGTTGTTACTGTGTTTGGCATCTTGAAGACGCCACTGGGAGCTTGCCAGGCTCTGCCATGCGGGCGAGATCCTCTTGGGAGCTGGCCAAGGCTCTCCGAGAGGGGCGAGGAATCGAACCCGAGTTCGCCGCTTGCAAGGCAAACGTCCTACCCGCTGTGCTCCAGCCCATCTATATCGATATCAGTGAATATCTGCTATTCATTAACATCCATATAATTAATTGGTATATAATATGATTAATGGAATAAACACTATTGTTTGATTCCTCCGTCCCTCTCGGAGAGCCCGTCCAGCTCCCGAGAGGATCCCGCCCGCACAGCAGAGCCTGGCAAGCTCCCTGTGGCATCTCCGAGATGCCAAACACAGTCACAACAAAGTCTCACCCTGGAGACGTTCCTGGGCCCACTCGAGCAAATCGATGAACAGTGGGAGGACAGTGCAGTGAGTGCACTGCAGTTAACATCAATGTATCAAACAATTAATATGATTAAATAATAATATTAATCGAGGTGATTAATATCATGATAAATATCAAAATTACACTGTAGCACTGTCCTTCCGTTGTTCATCGATCTGCTCGAGCGGGCCCAGTAACGTCTCCATCGGAGACTTTGTTGTAACTGTGTCTGGCATATCGACTACATCACGGGGAGCTTGCCAGGCTCTGCCATGTGGGCGAGATACTCTCGGGAGCTTGCCGGGCTCTCCGAGAGGGGCGGAGGAAGTGAACCCGGGTTGGCCATGTGCAAGGCAAACGCCCTACCCGCTGTGCTATCGCTCCAGCCCGTCATTTTCCATAATCACTGCACCATATTTGATGGGGTTCAGACAGGAGAAAACAAATCCTAGAGGGAAACGTATTTATATGCCTATATTCATGTTTTCTGTCCCTCTTGGAAGAGTCCAGCAAGCTCCTGAGAGGATCCCGCCCGCACGGCAGAGCCTGGCAAGCTCCCCGTGGCGTCTTCGAGATGTCAAACACAGTAACAATAACCGGTCTCATTCCGGTCTCATTCCTCGGACCCTGAAAGAGCCTCCAATAAGGCACCGTTGGGAAGGACGAATAAGTAAAATTTCAGGGCTGGGACGAATAGGGACGTTACTGGTGCCCGGTCAAGTAAATCAACAAAGAACGGGACGACAGTGATATAGTGATCACGCATATGTCCACACGGGTGCCCCTGTGCACGTTTGTGTGTGTGTGTGTGCCTGTGTGTGCCCCTCACAAGGGAGATGCTCCCTGGGAAGGGGGCGGAGATTCCAGGAAAGGAAGTGGTTCCCGGAACCCGGGTTCTATCTCGTAGACCCAGGGGACATCATGCTGCAGACGTGGGCCCCAGAAAGAGGCAAGCATTGCGTTTTGTGAATCGCTGGTGTGAGTGTGTTTGTGTGTGTGTGTATTTGTGTGTCTACGGAGGTGTGGAGAAGCTCATGGTGTGTGTGTGTGTGTGTGTGTGTGTGTGTAGATATGAAAGACCTCAGGTTTGTGTGTGTATATGTATAGTCGTTCAGGGTATGTGTGTGTGTATGTGTATGTGTGTGTGTGTGTGTTTAGGTGTTTGGAAATCAGGGTGTGTGTGGGTATGTATAGGTGTGAAGGAACTGAGGTTGCGTGTCTGTGTGCAGGTGTGCAGAAGCTCGTGATGTGTGTAGGTATTTGAAGCTCAGAGTGTGTGTGTGTGTAGGTGTGAAGGACCTCAGGTTGTGTGTGTGTAGGTGTGAAGAACCTCAGGTTGTGTGTGTGTGTCTGTAGGCGTGAAGAACCCCAGGTTGTGTGTGTGTAGGTGTGTAGAAACTTAGGGGTTGTGTGTATGTGTAGGTGTTTGGAGCTCACGCTGTGTGTGTAGGTGTTGGAGCTCAGGTTGTATGTGTGTATGTGTAGGTGTGTAGGAGCTCAAGGTGTCTGTGTGTAGGTGTGAAGGACCTCAGGTTGTGTGTAGGTGTGTAGGAGCTGAGGTTGTGTGTATGTGTGCAGGTGTGCGGAAAGCTCTTGATGTGTGTAGATGTTTGAAGCTCCGAGTGTGTGTGTGTGTAGGTGTGAAGGACTTCAGGTTGTGTGTATAGGTGTGTAGGAGCTGAGGTTGTGTGTATGTGTAGGTGTTAGGAGATCAGGTGGTGTATATGTCTGAGTAGGTGTGCAGTAGCTCAGAGTGTGTGTGTGTAGGTGTGAAGGACCTCAGGTTGTGTGTGTGTAGGTGGGTAGGATCTTAGGGTATGTGTGTGTAGGTATTTGGAGCTCAGAGAGTGTGTGTGTAGGTGTGTAGAACTTCAGGGTGTGTGTGTGTATAGGTGTGAAGGACCTCAGATTGTGTGCGTAGGTGTTTGGAGCTTAGTGTGTGTGTGCGTAGGTGTGAAGGACCCCACTTTGTCTGTGTGTGTAGGTGTGTAGGAGCTAAGAATATGTGTGTGTAGGTGTTTGCGACTCAGGTTGTGTATGTATATGTGTAGGTTATGTAGGAGCTCAGGATGTGTGTCTGTCGGTGTGAAGGACCTCGGGTTGTGTGTGTGTAGGTGTGTAGGAGCTTAGGGTATGTGTGTGTAGGTGGGTAGGATCTTAGGTATGTGTGTGTAGGTGTTTGGAGCTCAGATAGTGTGTGTGTGTGTGTGTGTAGGTGCGTAGAATTTCAGTGTGTGTGTGTATAGGTGTGAAGGACCTTGGATTGTGTGTGTAGGCATTTGGAGCTTAGGGTGTGTGTGTAGGTGTGTAGGAGCTCAGGACATGTGTGTGTAGGTGTTTGGAGCTCAGGGTGTGTATGTATATGTGTAGGTTATGTAGGAGCTCAGGGTGTATGTCTGTAGATGTGAAGGACCTCAGGTTGTGTGTGTGTGTAGGTGTGTAGGAGCTTAGGGTATGTGCGTAGGTGTTTGGAGCTCAGATTATGTGTGTGTGTGTGCGTGTGTAGGTGTGAAGGACCTCAGACTGTATGTGTGTAGGCGTGTAAGAGTCAGGGTGTATGTGTTGGTATGTGTAGGTATGTAGAAGCTCAGGCTGTGTGTGTGTGTGTGTGTGTGTGTGTGTGTGTGCGCAGTGGCGTCTGAGAGAACCGAAGCAGAAACTCCCAAACGCGGCATCTGACAGAGTGCGGTACCACGCGGACATTCTAAGCTGGCATGGGGCGCGGGCACGGGACGATGAGCCCAAGGACGTCCCGAGTGCATTTCCTGGTCCAGGTGTGTTATTCCGGAGTGTGTCTTTTGTGGCTCTTATTTCCCTGTGTTTGGCTGCGCACGCCTGCGGACACACGACAGAGGCTCCCCTTGACCCCAGTGGGGATGAGGGTCGTCTTCACCCGCCTCAGGGCTGTGGTCCCTAAGGCCCCCCACCCCCACCCCCACCCCGCACATACCTGCAGGGCACCGAGATCGCTCAGAGCCCCGTCGGGAATCGTCGGGATGTCGTTGCCGTGAAGCATGAGGAGTTCCAGCTTGGTGAGTCCCGCAAAGGAGGTTTTGGACAGAGCCTGGATGCTGTTGAACCTGCCCGGGGTGGTGGGAAAGGCAGAGGGAAGGGTCAACAAGGAGAGTTTCGGGTTGGGTGAACTGAGTCAGAGAGAGAGACAGACAGACAGACATAGAAGAACTGCACTCATGGGTGGAATATAAAATACCATAATAGGAGACTGACGCCCAAGGAGAGTAGACACAAGGGCCAGGAGGATTGCTCAAAGGTTGCAAGCCGCCTCATGAGTGGGGGAGAAGGCAGCTGGGATGGAGAAGGGGTCACTGAGTCAGGGAGGGCTGGAGGGGTCGCTCGGGAGGGGAGATGCGTGCTGAAAGTAGACTAAGGACCGAGCATGATGGCCACCTAGTCCCCATATTGCAAACCATAACACCCAAAGGGAGAGAGAGAGTGAAAGGGAAGGCACCTGCCACCGAGGTGGGTGGGTGGGTGGGTGGGTGGGTGGAGATGGCAGGAGGGATACAGGGACCATCGGAGGTGGAGAATGGGCACTGGTGGAGGGATGGGTACTCGATTGTTGTATGATTGAAATGTAAGCACAGAAGTTTGTCAGTCTGTAACTGTGTCTCACGGTGATTCATTTAAAAAAATTTTTTTTAAAAAAAGGTGGGGTGGAGAGTTGCGTGTTTGTGTTTTGGTCTTAGGCCCACGGCAAGGGAGCAGGAAAAGTCGACCCCACCGAGAGCTCATCTGCACAACTGAGTTTGGGTGGTGGGGTGGAAGGGATGGGAGTTGGTGCTCCTTGAGGGGTGATGGGTGTGACGTTGGGATTATGGACATGGAAAATCTCACTGACAGGACTGTAGGTCACAGAACCTCAATGAATGAGTTTGTTTTTTTTTAAAGCAGACGGCTGACAAAGGAGAAAGAGGAAGAGAGGCAGAGGGAGAGAAGAGAGAAATGAGAAGGAGAGAAAGAAATAGAGAGAGAAGAAAAAAGACACACAGAGAGAAAGAAGAGGTACTTGATAGAAAGAGAGAAAGAAGAGGGAAATGAGAAAGAGACAGAAAGAGAAAGAAGAGAGAAATGAGAGAGAAAGAAATAGAGAGAAAGAGACACACACAGAGAAAGAAGAGATAAGTGATAGAAAGAGAGAAAGAAAGAAGAGAGAAATGAGAGACGAGACAGAGAGAAAGAGATAAAGAGACAGAGAGAAAGAACGAAGAGAGAAATGAGAAAGAGACAGAGAAAGAGAAAGGAGAGAAATGAGAGACAGAAAGAGATCGCGAGAAAGAGAAAGAGGGAAATGAGAGAAAGAGACAGAGACAGAAAGAAAAGGAAGAGAGAAATGAGAAAAAGAAAGAAAGAGAGAGAAAGAGGGAAATGAGAGAAAGAGACAGAGACAGAAAGAAAAGGAAGAGAGAAATAAGAAAAAGAGAGAGAAAGAGAGAGAAAGAGGGAAATGAGAGAAAGAGACAGAGACAGAAAGAAAAGGAAGAGAGAAATGAGAAAAAGAAAGAGATATAAGAGAAAGAAGAGAGAAATGTCAAAGAGAGAAAGAAAGAGAAATGAGAAAGGCAGATATATAGAGAGAAAGAAGAGGGGAATGAGAAAGAGAGAGGGAAAGAGGGAAATGAGAGAGACAGAGACAGAAAGAAAAAGAGGAGAGAAATGAAAAAAAGAAAGAGATATAAGAGATAGAGAAAGAGAAATGTCAAAGAGAGAGAAAGAAAGAGAAACGAGAAAGACAGATATAGAGAGGGAAAGAAGAGGGGAATGAGAGAGAGAGAAAGAGGGAAATGAGAGAGACAGAGACAGAAAGAGAAAGAAGAGAGAAATGAGAAAAAGAAGAGATGCAAGAGATAGAGAAAGAAGAGAGAAATGTCAAAGAGAGAGAAAGAGAAACAAGAAAGACAGACATAGAGAAAGAAGAGGGAAATGAGAAATAGAGAAAGAAAAGAGGCAGACAGAGAAAGAAGAGAGAAATGAGAGAAAGAAAGAGAGGCAGAGAGAAAGAAGAGAAAAAATGAGAGAGAAAGAGATAGAGGAAAGAGAGAGAAAGAGAGAGAGAGAGAAAGAGGAAAAGTATCCTTCACAAAGGCAGGCGGAATGGGAGGGAAACTGAGGACATCGGTGATGGGAATTGGACACTGGTCAAGGAATGGGTGTTGGAACATGATATGACCGAAACCCAACCGTGAACAACTCTGTAACTGTGTATCTCACTGTAATTCAATCACGGTATATCACGGTTCTCCCGTTGTTCATCGATTTTCTCGAGCGGACCCAGTAACGTCTCCATCATGAGACTTGTTGTTACTGTGTTTGGCATATCGAATACGTCACGTAATTCAATAAAAAAAATATTGAATAAAGCAGGGTGGCGAGGGGGTGAGGCAGAAGCCACAGGATCCCCCTTGACCCCAGTGTCTAGAGAGGAGGGCAGAGAAGGAAAGAAATCATGGCGGAAGAGAATGGGACGTCCTGGGGGAGTAGACATCAGGGCTTCCGTTGTCGTCTGAGGGGTAGACCCCCAACACAGACTCAACAACGAGATCTAACCGCAACCTTCGGTGG